GACGATGGGTGGTACCCCCACCGCGTCCCCTCCCCTCCCACCCGTCCACACACACACACACACACACACACACAAGTATGAGAGCAGATAAATGTGGAAGGAAGTTAATAGTTGGCCAAGTGACATGAGACTGGTTGACTCCTCTTGTTAATTTACTCACTTGTTTCTCTGTTCATCACATGCATTGGTCCATCATTCCCTCCTTCCCTTCCACTCCCACCCTCCCTCCTTCCCTCTCTCCCTGCATCCCTTCATGCATCCACCCAGCTCTCACTTCACTAAGCATCTGATGAGGCTCACAGCGAGGCAGGCACTATGCTGGATGCTGGAGGTACAGAGCCAAACAAGACCCCATCTGCCCTCAGAAAGCACACAGCCCAAGGGCACAAAAAGGTCATCGTGCAACCGTATCACCAAGCAACAAGGGGCTTTTACAAAGTGGCAGTCATGGTGGACTGGAGCAGTCCACGCCCTTCTAGGCAAGCTGCTCTCTGTGGCTGGGTAGGATCTTGGGCAGCACTGATGTCCCCCAGCACGCCAGGTGTATTGGAGAGCAGGCAGAAGGTAGTGAGCTCATGGGGAAGGCCAGGTCTGGGCTGTACCCCAAAAGTGCAAGAGTCCCCAAAGTGGGTGGATAGTCAGTCTGGGACTAGTCAGGTGGGAGACCCAAGGTCACTCTGTCACTGGACCTACTCCCCAATAGGTAGCAGAGGATGACCTCTGAGAGGCATGGGGAAGGGGGCCCACAGGGCATATTTCGGAGGATCAGGGGCTCAGAAATGGGTTGGTCCAACTTGCTCCCACATTGGCTTGGAGTCAAGATCTGTGGTTTAGCCCAGTTTCACCGCTTACCATGAGCCTAAGTCTCTTTTCTCTGCATCTGTGATCACTAGAGGGGGTAACTCCTGTCCTGCTGCCCTGAGAACCTGGACACACACTCCATAGGGAGCTGGAAGTTCTGCTTAAACAGCAACTTGCAGCTTGAGTTTAAGGGGCAGGTGACAGGGAGGCTGCCCTGAGCTGTGTCCTCAGGTTCACACGCCCCTCGTCCACTGCTCACTATGGTGGCTCCCAACACCGTCTCTGTCCTTGGAGGGCAGTGGGCAGCCTCTGAGTCCACTCTCCTCCTCCCTCCTGACCCCCCCCCCGGGGCCCGGCCCAGGTTTCAAGGAGACAGCCTTTCTGTACGCGGTGTCTTCGGCTGCCCTCACCCACACCCTGGCTCGGGCCTGCAGCGCCGGGCGCATGGAGCGTTGTACCTGCGATGACTCTCCAGGCCTGGAGAGCCGGCAGGCCTGGCAGTGGGGTGTGTGCGGCGACAATCTCAAGTACAGCACAAAGTTCCTGAACAACTTCCTGGGGCCCAAGAGAGGAAGCAAAGACCTGCGAGCACGGGCAGACGCCCACAACACCCACGTGGGCATCAAGGTGAGCATGTTCCCAGGCGACCCAAAGCCCCTCCCAGCCAGGGTCCAGGGCCTGGGAGCAAGGTGATAGGAAGCCAGGACTTGCCCTGCCCCCAGCAAACACTCACAGAGACATTCCTGGATGAACCTCATCCTTTCAACCGACATTCCTTGGGCATCTACTCTGGACAATTACCAGGCACCAGGAAGTAGGGGAGGGTCCTGGGCCATCTTCTGCGGCTGGGCAGCAGGATGGGGACTTGGTGAGACAGGAATATGTTTGGAGAAGGGTCTCCATTCCAAGGAAGAGCCTTCCTGGATGTCTGCCAGCATAGTTTGAAAACTGACCTGGTACAATCCTCACCCCTCCTCCATTTTACAGATGGGAAGATAGAGGTGGCCCAGAGAGGGGAAAGGATTTAGCTGAGATCACACAGGAGCAGGAGGGCTGGAGGGTAAAATGTATCTAGGTCTATTGGGACGAGAAGCCTGGGAGAGGCAAGGGCTCCGTTTTGTTAAGAAATTGAGTCCCATGTTCTGTGTCCTCATCACAGAGTTGGTGTAAACCAGGGCTGCTGTGTTCAGTTGTACAAGCTATCTACTCCACAAGAACTCTGGGCCAGGGGAGGAGCTGGGGCTGAAGCTGGGCCTACCCTGCTCTTACCAAGGCATGAGGACTGCCTATGCCCAGGGGAAGGGGCTCCTGGAGCTGGTGTGCACTGAGGTGTCACGTGGGCCAGCTTGAGTCCTGTCTGCCCCCTCAGGTGGACTTTCCCTGGCCTCTTTCCCATCCTCCTGCCACTCCCCACCAGGGCTGGTGCTCCTAGGGCAGGCTTGGGCCACGGGTCCTGGGCCTGTAACCATGTCTCCCTTCTGCCTCTCCTTGCAGGCTGTGAAGAGTGGCCTCAGGACCACGTGTAAGTGCCATGGCGTGTCAGGCTCCTGTGCTGTGCGCACCTGCTGGAAGCAGCTCTCCCCATTCCGTGAGACAGGCCAGGTGTTGAAGCTGCGCTACGACTCAGCTGTCAAGGTGTCCAGTGCCACCAACGAGGCCTTGGGCCGCCTGGAGCTGTGGGCACCTGCCAAGCCGGGCAGCCCCACCAAGGGCCTGGCCCCGCGGCCTGGGGACCTGGTCTACATGGAGGACTCACCCAGTTTCTGTCGGCCCAGCAAGTACTCCCCTGGCACCGCAGGCAGGGTGTGCTCCCGGGAGGCCAGCTGCAGTAGCCTGTGCTGCGGGCGGGGCTACGACACCCAGAGCCGCCTGGTGGCCTTCTCCTGCCACTGCCAGGTGCAGTGGTGCTGCTACGTGGAGTGCCAGCAGTGTGTGCAGGAGGAGCTCGTGTATACCTGTAAGCACTAGGCCCGCTGCCCGGTATGCCAGCCGGCCACTGCCAGGACCTCCCACGGCACCGGGCCACCCTGAGGCCACCCAGCTGTGCAGCCAGCCCCTCCGGGCAGGTACACGCAGCATGCATGCACTCACCGACCTCCGTGCCGTGCACACGTACTCCTCTCCCCACAGGGCCTCGGTAGCCTTTCCTCCCTCAGCTCTCAGCAACAGGAGGTGTGGGCCTTGTCCTTGAACCTGAGGGTCCCCAGCCTTGTTGAGGACTTGGAGCAGGAGGCAGAATGGAAAGGATGTGGAGGGAAATAAGGGAGACCAAGAGGAAGGCAGGACTGAGGATTTGGAGGGGAGGGAGGGGAATATCCTGCCATCTTGATTCTTGGGTTGAGTGGCCTAAAGTCAGCAAGATGCTGGGAGGTGAGCTTCCGGACCAAGAAGGCCCGGGGAGGCAGTGTCAGCTAGAAGCAGAGGCTGGAGTCTGGCTGGGATGGGTCAGCCAGCCCTGGGGCCCTGCTCAGATCACAGTGAACCCCCGGGGCCACATCCCTTCACTCCCCAACCCTGGCTGTGCTGTGCTAGAGATGAGGGGAAAGGCCAGGTGGTAGGAGCTGTTGGTTTGGAGAAAGGAAAGCTTAAGTCAGATGTGTGCCCTGGATCTTTGTGTGCTCAATTTGGTTTTTAAAATATGCCTCCATGGAGCCTTCATTCTTACCTGCAGAGCTGAATTATCCACACCTACCCAGCCCTGCTCAGTAAAAGCACCAGTGGATACAAGGCCGGTAGGAGGAGCCAGTCCCCGGAGTGGGGCTCAGATAGCACACTGAGGTCGCCAGGGGAGACAGTGACTCCTCAATAGCTCAGCCTCCCTTCGAGCCCACTTTGGTCAACTCGCTGTGGCTGGGGTCCACCTGTGCTGGGGTCTCAGCACAGCTGGCATTCATGATGCAGAAGAGTTGGTTTATGAGTTCTGATTCGGTTACACTTCTACTCTTCCAGCTACTCTTCTAATTCAGGGTTTTGCCCTGCCTGGAGGTATGGGCGTGGGGAAGTCTTTGCTAAGCCTGGCCCTTCGTTAACCAATGGCCCCTCACTTTGGCTCTTACCTGAGGAACGGAAGTGACTGCTAATTTCCTCTGATCCTGCAGACATCTCCAGTGCTACCAAGGTCCTGGGGAGGAGGAGAGAGAAGCTGGCTCATACACGTACTCCCCACAGGCACCTCCCCACCTCCCTACATGCACACCCCTTGGACCTGCCAGGCTGAGGGCCCTCACTCAGCAGCACACACCTCTCTGGTTCAGGATCAAGACTCTGCAGGGGTCACTTTGCTGGAGGCTGTGTTCTTTCCCAGAGCAGGGCCCAGTGCCAGCTGGGAGGAAGTGACCTCCTCCGGGACGCCCTTGGCTGCTTTGCTGGCCCTGCCGCGCCCTCTGTCAGCTTCCTTTCTCCCTGAACCCAGAGTTGCTGACCCTTTGCTGAGACAGGAAACTTCAGAATCAGCCGAATGCTGAGAAACCATCTGTGCAAGCCCCAGGAAGAAGCCCATGGGGCTCCCTGTGATCTCCAAGGGTGACGAGAAGCTGCCCTGTCTTTGGTGGATCAGGCGGCCTCCGGAGGGACGCTGCAAGGATCTTTGGTTGCAGAGGCTCTGATAAGAAGCCAAACTGACCTGAGACCACCCCCCAGACTGACTTTGCTGACCCAAGCAGCTAGCCCACATCTTGGCAGGAAGAGAAAAAAGGATAGACAGCTGGTTTTCTAGTTTCTTCCACTGCCTCACTACATGGAGATTTTCTCCCTGCCAGCCTGATCCATCCTCCTCCTCTAGGACCCCAACTCTTCCTCCACCCTGGCTCAGCCCTGGGCAAAAGACAGCAGGAAGAGGGGTCTGATCCACCAACACGCCATCCACATCCCAACTCCATGGTGGGCAATGCTGGATTTGCAGGAAGATCAAGGGGAGACTGAGGCACTAAGGCCATGGCTGGCCACTAACCCTGACCAGGCCAAAGGCAGGCTCAGAGGGCCTTGGCCTATGGGGTCTTTCCTGTCCAGCCCTCTCCCCTCTTCTCTTTCCCTATTCCCACCTCCTTCTCTTCTGGTTATCCCCAAAGGTCCACCTCAGCCCTGCTGTGGCCCCTGGGACCAGTGACCACTGACCCCTCGTTCTACAGCTTTAAGGGAAACACTCACAGGGTATTTTTGGTCTACCTCACATATACAGTTTTTAGGGCAAAAGAGAATAATTTATATAGCTAAGATATATGAGAAAGTATTTATGTTATTTATATAGTGTCTATATTTTATGGGCAGCAGCTGGGGCGGGGGTTTGTGCGGTCTACTGGAGGCCATCTACCTGGGGAGAAACAGCATGGCCTGACTGGGACCCCACTGAGCTGGACATCAGGTGGCTGGGGAGGGGGTCTTGTAGGCTCTCATGTCCCTTGACAGGGTCTGTCCAGGAGCCAGTGAGCTGCATCCCCTCCAAGTGTGAGCTCTGATGGGCTTGATCCAGATCCTTCTTGGGAAGTCTTGTAAATTCTCTGCTCTTCCAGGTCCCAGGTCCCCCTCCTGCTCTGGTAAAACTGTCTCACTCATGACAATACTGATAATGAGGATGACCACACTTTGCTTTGTAAAGCACTTTTGATCTTCAGAAACACTTTTGTCCCTTTAATCTCACTTGGTTTCCCCATTATCGGTAAATATTTACTGAACTTCTCCATGGGCCAGGCACTATGCGGGGTGACTTACCCTAAGCCCGGGAGCTCCAAAGTCTGGAGGCACCCTGAGCCCAAGAACCCAGGGAAGTGGCTGCTTCCCTAGCTGTATGTGACGCTGCCTTTTGGATCTGGACAGCATGTCAGCTGTGTGTCAGGGGCTGGGGCTGTCTGAGAGGCCTGGAGAGACAAGGACCCATGGAGGCCACCCCGGGGCTCCACCATCCGGCCCTCTCTCCTGTGCACACTGCCTGAGAGGGGTGGGCTACTTCACAGGACCCCTCCCAGCCCACAGATGTGTTGTTTGCTCTCATTTGTGTTTTTCTTTTAAAAATGATTTGTTTTCCGTTGGATTTTCTGGCTTCTCTTGTAAAATCAGCTGCACTGGCAACCTGGGCCTGCATTTCCCATCCCCCGGCCACAGTCAGCTAGAGAGGGGGCCCCTATCAGACGGGACGCATGGGGCTGCCCAGTACCCCCACCTCACTCACGACGCTCCTGCCTGGCTCTTGTGGGCATGTCATGTCTCTTCCATGGTCCAGATAAGCCCAGCTTCCCTGGTGTCCTCCACTGCCTGGCAGACAGAGTGACAGACCCACACCAGCCCTGAAGATTATTTCTTGCTTCTCAGAGTTTCCTTTCTCAACAGCCATGAACTTCTAATGCTTTCTGTCTCAGCACATTTTACTGACTTACAATGAGAGCTATCGTATATGGAGCACCTGTTCTGTTCATCCAATCAGCAATGGCTTAGGGAGCTCCTCCTGAGTGCCGGGCACCACCCAGGTGCTGCAGTGCGGCAGTGAAGGGGACCAAGTCCCTGCCCCATGGGGCTGACACTCTAGTGGGAGAGAGAGATGATAAACCAATAAAGTACATGTCAGCTCTGTGTACCTATTTTGTCTCGATTACTGCCATAACCCTGCACGTTGGACACAACCACCCCGTCTCGCAGTCAAGGCAATGGACGCTGTGAAGGCTCCTGGATGCCACTAGCAAGCCATGGTGTCAGGACTAGAACACAGAGCTGCCGGCCCCCAAAGTGTGAGTTCTTGCCTCTCAGTACTGCTGCCTCCCCTCAGATGCAGATAGCACAGAGATGGAGTGTCCCATTTTACGGATTCCAGGTAAGCTGACGCCTAGAGGAAGGAGGTGACCCAACCAATGTCATACACCAAGTCAGACGAGGCGCTCGCCGGGAAATGATAAGTTTGCCTAGTGTTTGCATCCTATGGCCAGCAATGCAGGCTGGGGTGGGGGCAGGTTAAGGCAAAGTGGGAGCCTTCAGGGACCTACGGTCCTGTAGGAGAGATGAGAGGCACGGCCATGTGATAGTTTACGCATCAGCCCCAGAGTCCCTCCTTTGGCCACTGCCTTCCCAGCATGCTTTAGGAAGTGTCTTCAAGCAGCTGCTGCTCCTGGCGGATCTGATAGTCCCCTTTTGAAGCAAAGGGCAGCAGAGAAGTCTTGTCCCTGCCCTGCCCTAGCTCTTCAATCCTGCTGAGACCCACATGGTGTCCCCTGGGAGGGAAGTCTGCAGTCCAACCATGAGGGCACCCGCATTTCCACCTGCAGTTATGTCTTCACATGATCCTTCTACCCTGTGTTCCTGGGCTTGGAGCTGAAGTGTCCACATGCAGCAGCGGCTCCCGCCCACCAAGGGATTTCTCACATTTTTCTCATCTGAACCTCATAAGGCAGGCACCCTTCCCTTTTTACAGATAGGGAAACTGAAGCACAAAATGGTTAAGTGGCTCACTGCAGACCCAGTTCTTAGACTCTGTGTTTTTTCTCTCCTACACTGCCTTCAGCCTTCCCCCACCCCCATCTGAGCCTTTCCCTGCTCCTGCCCATAAGCTGGTTCCCAAATAGGCCCTTGGGCCCCCTTCACCCTTAGCTGCTCAGTGCCGCCACTCTCCCTGGGGATCAGGGCCTGCTGAGACAATCACTCCGTGGATACTTCACCTGTGCTGACCCCACTTTAAAAAACATTCAGCCACATTTGCGCTCGCTCTCACTCTTTCTCTCTGTATATACATATATATATGTATATATGTGTATTTATTTTGTTGACCCATTTGTGAGAACATTGCACCAAGACACTTAAATATCTTATCACAAATCTAAGAACTACAACATGCTCCCAAATCTGAGAGATTTAACACTTACACAATGTTATCGACTATATATTCCTTCTTCTAACTTCCCCAATTATCCCTCAAAATGTCCTTTATAACTTTTTTTCCTGATCTGGGATCTACTGAAGAATCGGGCATTGTATTTTGTTATCATGTCTCTCCAACACCCTCTAATTTAGAATAGTCCTCCTGCCTTCTTTGCTCTCACAACCTTGATATTTTGAAGAGTTCAGGGCGGATGTCTTATAGAATGTCTCTCAACTGAGATTTATCTGATCATTTCCTTATGATTTGATTCTGGTTAAACATTTTGGCAAGAGGTCTACTTGGTGGTGCGCGTCCTTCCCTGCACACGTTGCCAGGGGCCGCGGTTGGTCAACATTGGCGGTGATGTTGAATTTCATCACTTGGTTGAGGTGGTTTCCACCAGCTCTCTCCCACGTAAAGTTGCCTTTTGCCCTTTGTGGTTCATAACTCATCTGTGGTGTGATGCTTTGAGACCGTGGGACCATCCTGCTGCCCAGCAACATTTTACCCAATAGTTTCAGCATCCTTTGGTGATCCTCACCCAAATCAATTGAAAATGGTGATTATTCTCATTCTGTCATCCCTTACCTATTTTTTAGTTGACATTCTTCTCTAAAGAAGAGCTTTTTCTTCTCTGTTACCCTCATGCTATTCCTTTTAATCTTCACAATCACCCTGCAGGGCAAGAAATGCTACCCTCCCCCCATTTTATAGATGAGGAAACTGAGGTTCAGGAAGCTTAAAATATTCATTGTGTGAGTGGCAGAGCTGGGACTTAAACTCAGGCCTTTGTCATGCCTGAGCTCATATCCACTGCCTTCTAGAATCTTCTCAAATTCCTGAATTTCTTCCCTGATGACTTAGTCCGGAGCAGGGGGTGAGAAGCTGTGCCTTCTCCCAGTGAAATTCCTGTAGGAGGTGGGCAAGGCGTTTACAGCAGCACTGGTGGGGCGTCAGGGCGGGAGATTTCCTCTCTTGAAATCATGACACAGCCTTGCTCCAGCCTCCCCAACCTGCCTCCCACCTTAGAGGCTCAGCAAAGAGCCTCCCTCTATGCTGCCCTTGCCCCCTCTCTACTAGCCCTGCCCTGTCCTTGTTGGGCTCCCCGCGCTGTGGAACATGACTGTGGTGACCCCAAGTCCCAGAGCTCCTCATATGGGCCCAAGGTTGAAAACTGCCTACTGAGTCCTAAAGACACATACAATGATCCCTGTGTCTGATTTCCATTGGGGAAATATGGTCACGGTCTGGCCAGCAAGGGCAGAAGAAAGGCCAGAGGGATGACCTGTGATTGGAGTGGGGACCCCACCTGCCCCTTCCCTTCCCTTCCCTTTCACTTCCCACTCTTTGCTTACACATCTCACACCTGGTCCCTTCATGTAACTGCTCACTCGGCAAACACTGACTCACTGCCTACAGTGTGCAGGGCACGTGCTGCGGTGCTGCAGTTACAAGACTTAGGCCCGGCCTTTGGGGAGTTGCAGACGAGACAGA